GACAAGACACTGAGACAAGACAGGGCTTAAATACACTGGGGCATAATGGGAGGATGATGAGCTGCAGGTGTGAGGGGAGAGATCCAGGTGAAAGTGATAACTAATCAGGGAGGAGGAGCAGGAGAGGACACCAGACCTAACTGGGAAAGGACACAAACACACACACACACCACACACAAAACTGGAATAATAGACCTATGGAAATTATGGTGGGGAGACTGAAGGAACACAGGACCTGAGAGGGAATATCTGGAGGGCTGAAGACCAGGGGCGGATAACAAGACGAGACGAGACAAACCACAAACAAAAGACAACAAAACAGGACACCAAAAACACAGGGAGGGAGAGGAGGGACCAAACAAAAACAACCCACAAGGGCGGGCGAGGAGGGAACAGGAGACTCAGAGGGATCGGCGACGGGGGACCAGGAGGCGGGACCAGGGAAGTCTCGGGGGCTGGCGATGGGGACCAGGAGGCGGGACCAGGGAAGTCTCAGGGGCCGGCGATGGGGGACCAGGAGGCGGGACCAGGGAAGTCTCGGGGGCCAGCGACGGGGAACCCTGGGGATCGGGGGCTTTGGAGGAGGAGGACGAGGAAGGGAGTTCAGAGGACGAGGAAGGGTCTCTGGAGACAGGGACTGAGACTGGAACACTTGGGACTCGAGAGACTGGAACACTGTAAACTTGTGGGGAGACTTGGGACAGGGAGACGTTGACTTCAGAGCTGGAGCTGGAGACGTTGACATCTGACCCAGAGGCATCGACTTCTGGCCTGGAGGCGTCATTTTCTGGCCTGGAGGCGCCGGACCGGGCGGAGCCTCTTGGACGGGTGGGAGCGGAGCCTCTTGGACGGGCGGGAGCTGAGCTACTTCGTCCTCCACTGCCGAAGCAGGATGTGATGCGTCCTCTTGGACCACCGCCGAAGCAGGATGTGATGCGTCCTCTTGGACCACCGCCAAAGCAGGATGCGATGAGTCTTCTTGGACCACCGCCGAGGCAGGATGCTGTGCGTCTTGTTGGACCACCGCTGAAGCAGGATGCTGTGCGTTCCCTGGGACCACCGCTGAAGCAGGATGCTGTGCGTCCCCTGGGACCACCGCTGAAGCAGGATGCTGTGCTTCCCCTGGGACCAACGCTGAAGCTGGTTGCGATGCGTCCTCTGGGACCACCGCTGAAGCTGGTTGCTGTGCGTCCTCTGGGACCACCGCCGAAGCAGGTTTCGATGCGTCCTCTGGGACCACCGCCGGAGCAGGATGCGATGCGTCCTCTGGGACCACCGCCGGAGCAGGATGCGATGCATCCTCTGGGACCATCGCTGGAGCAGGATGCAATGCGTCCTCTGGGACCACCGCCAAAGCAGGATGTGATGCGTCCTCCGGGACCACCGCTGGAGCAGGATGCGATGCGTCCTCCGGGACCACCACTGGAGCAGGGTGTGATGCGTCCTCCGGGACCAGCGCCGAAGCAGATGTGTGGCGTCTACGGCAGGTGCGGGGATGGTGTCGGCAGGAGCAGAGGGTGATGAAGTGTGGCAATCCCCAGGAGATGGGGAGGTGGCGCTGATCGGACCAGGCGAAGGTGTGGAGGTTTGGTACAGAGGTGTAATGTGGATGCTGATGGCTGGCGGTGCTGTGGGGCCGAAGTTCGCCAGCAGCTCCTTGGCGAACGGCCAAAACGACACCTCTTCGATGGGGTGATCGTCAAAATATCGGGTGGCCCACCGCATGACTCTGCCTCCCAGGCAGAGCACCAGGAAGGAGACTTTATTGAACTCCGAAGAGTTCAAGTCCACACAACTGGCAACGTCCTGAATAAAATCTCAACAGAGCTCTGGCTCACCATAATAGCGGTACATCTGGGTAATCCGCTAGGTCCTGGGTGATCGGTCCATTCTGTCACGTTGTGAGAATGTTTGGGACCCAAATATGCAGATTTACCCAGGATGACTCGAGGCAGAAGTTGGTAAAGTCCCTTTATTTTGGAAGAACAAAAAATAAATCCAAGGCAGTGAGCCTAAAGTCCAAAGGTCCTGGAGCACAGGACACCCAAAGCTCTCTTAGAGCACCAAAAACCTGGAGACCACAAAAGGCTCAGACAGAGCACGAACAAACGCTGACAGAAATACAAACAACAATGGACTGACAAGACACTGAGACAAGACAGGGCTTAAATACACTGGGGCATAATGGGAGGATGATGAGCTGCAGGTGTGAGGGGGGAGAACCAGGTGAAAGTGATAACTAATCAGGGAGGAGGAGCAGGAGAGGACACCAGACCTAACTGGGAAAGGACACAAACACACACACACACCACACACAAAACTGGAATAATAGACCTATGGAAATTATGGTGGGGAGACTGAAGGAACACAGGACCTGAGAGGGAATATCTGGAGGGCTGAAGACCAGGGGACACAAGAGGAACACAAAGAGACACAGACTATGACACTCTCTCTCTCTCTCTCTCTCTCTCTCTCTCTCTCTCTCTCTCTCTCTCTCTCTCTCTCTCTCTCTCTCTCTCTCTCTCTCTCTCACTAAGACGTGCTGTGAGGAGCATACACACACAGAAACAGCGCTGCTGAGGTCTGAGCTGCTCTGCATGAGGACAGACACAGCAGTCTGAATCCAATATCAGAGTCGGAGTCTCCAAAAGCAACTCTGCTCATGGCCGCCTTTTCTAACTTAAGAGAGACACCGCAAACATTTCCTTGCGTCTTTTGCCATGTGCTCAGAGATTTCCACTTCCTTGAGCCGTGTGTGTGAACAAAAACCTACCGGTGAGGGACTCAGACCAGCGCCACCCACCCCGGTCTGCACCGGCCCTAATGTGAAAGCGTCACTAGAGTCCCAAGTTACTTTACAACACAATCAGTCATTCACCCGCGCACATACACATTCACACCCTGGTGATGATGAGCTACAATGCAGCCACAGCTGCCCTGAGGTGCACTGTCAGAGGCAAGGCTGCTGAACACAGGTGTGACCAATCCCTCCGACCACCACCACCAGAAGGCAAGGTGGGTTAAAGGTCTTGCTCAAGGACACAACAGCAGCATTCTCTGGACAGAGACGGGATCAAACCAGCAACCTTCCAATTACTGGACAACACGCTAAGACAGCACATTGCTCTCCCTCTAATGCTGGATTCAAACTACCATAATAAGTGTAGTAAGAGCTCACTACCATAAAACACCCAAGAGTGCTAACACCAGATGTGACAATGTATTTATCTACTTATCAACTTACTGTGTATGACTCGTCTTTGCTTGTCATATAAAGTCTTCTGGTGCTGATCCGCAACTGGCAACAACCATGAATTTCACGGAACAGTGAGAGAGTGACTTTGTGTTTACAAAAGTGGACTTCAATATCTAAATACAACCACAGAATGTCATACTTAATTCTTACATATTTCACCTTTAACTCAATATAAAATTATCACTAAAAGTTGGTATAAATAATTATTTATTGTAACAGCAATAAATGTTATAACTCAGAGCTTTAGATGTTTCGATTAAGTTTTACGTCAAAGATTTAATCAACGAAACACAGATTTGTTTGTTTTATGTGCTGAGTTTGTTTGTCGGCAGATTTTGGCACGCCTGGAGCATGTTTACACCAAACTCTTCATATCTGTCAGATTGCAGCTTTTCATGTTACTTATCACAGTCCCATTTCCAATCGTCTCATATAGTCTTATTTGCTCTGGTGTGTTGCAGTCGAAGAGCTGCTGAAGATGCCTTGCAAATGAACGAGCTGGAATGTATGCTAATAGAAGCTCGAAACCTGGAGTCCTACCTGAGAGAGAAGAAAAGTCGTCTTCGGCAAACTTTGGCTGTAATTTCTGACAAACTGCAGATTTAATTCTGCTGCGGGCCTGGTGAACGAAGAGGACGGCGAACCTGGTTGTTTTTGTGAATACTCTGTATACTGAATGTTGTCTGACTAGAGTACATAGTTATCCCTAAAAGAATGCTGACGCTAGTGCATGATTACTGAATATAGAAGATAAACATGTTTACAGTGAGGGAATCTGACTTAGAAATTTATTTAGTGCTGTTTATTTTGGGTGAAGTAAAGGTTAAACATTAGTCTGTTTTTTTTTCCATGCTCACATTTTATTAGTTAATGTCTGTTATTTGTTTTTAATGGAATATTGAAAAACATTTTTTCTTCTCAGACATTCAGTCCTGAAAAGGACAACAGCTACACACATGAAAAACATTTATTTATTGGTAAAGCTCTGCAGGACTGAGATGTACTTCACACGTGATGCTAATGTAGGGTTAGGGTTAGTTATTACTTCTATAGTAAAGTTGTACGAAAACAGTTCACTCACCGACAGAGCTTCATGTTATCTACATGTATTTGTGTTTTTTAGCACAAGGGCATTAAAATGTTTATTGTAAAATAAAATGTCTGAAACTCATATTAATTGTAGTTAACAGGCAAATCTGCAAGGACACCCATAAACTCCCATCCTCACTGGTTACAAAGTTGCCTTTTCTATATGTTTTAATGGTTTTCTGTTCAGTAAAACCTTTCTTTTTAGTATCTAATGCAAGAGCCCCCTCTGAAGTAATGGCCTCCTAAATTCCTCCTATATAGGGACATTGGAACATTTTGAAGAGTTCTCTGTGAAAATTTAAACCCTATCAAACCCATTTTTCACAACTTTCTGACTGCTCTCTGTTCAGAGAAATCAAACTTGCATCTTTCAGCCTCAATAAGCTAATAATGAGCCTGAGCAAAGCATTGTCTTAAAAGCTATAGTTTCACTGTAGGAACATTTTTCCTTTGCACGGCTCTCAATTTCACTTTCTATTGCAAACATAAATATCTGGTATTGGCTGTACCTCTAGACTTTACCTAATCAGTCCTAAAGCATGCCAATGCTATTTCTTTAAAAATGAAAACATTAAATGAGGCTGTCTATAGTCTATACTAACTAGTTACATCACATTTCAAAATGGCTGAAAATCATTTAAAGCTTGCTCGCATGTGACCAGTCAAAATATTTTATTTAACAAACAAGTTTCTACAAACACTACAACTGTAATATTACATTTTTATTTAGCAAGATTACTTGAGTTGTTTCCTCGTGTTAAGGCTTGTACAGTGAGTTCAGTTTTATTAGTTTTTTTTTTGTCCTGATTATGAGTCTATGCAGTGTTGTTAAATGTTCCATGGAAGCCATATGGGATGTTGACAGGTACCACAGCCCTCCCCAGCTCTTTGAATGTCTTTGCATCCAAAACAAGAAGAAATGTGCTCTTGTCCTAAAAGATAACAGGAAAAAATCAAACTGCAAATATTTCAGTGACTTTCACAAATGAGAAGTTAAATGTTAACTGTCATTTAGTTGTGGTTTTTAGTTTTAAATATAAAACATTTCCCTTATAGTTTAAATGTCACTGACCGCGTTTGGGGTCACAACCACAGACAATATGACACCACCATCCTCTTCTGTAGCATCAGGAGCCGGTACAAATATTGGCTCAGAAGGATACAGGCCAGGCTGCTCCCATACCTTGGGGAAAACAGCGAAATCGGTTTCATTACTAAAATGTTAACACTCTTGTTCACTGAGAAATTAATACTTTTTTAAATGATCAGTCACTGAGTTACAGACATGGACAAATTGGCTGGTACCCTTTGGTCAATGAAAGAAAAACCCACAATGGTCACAGAAATGACTTGAATCTGACAAAAGTAATAATAAAAGTGAGACTTTGCTTTTTAACCATGCTTCAACAGAATTATTAAAAAAAATAATTATGGAATAAGCCTGGACAAAAATGACAGAACCCCTAGAAAAGGGATGTGTTAATTCAAGGTGTGCCCACTCATTAGCATCACAAGTGTTTGCAATCATGTGATCAGTCAGTGGGCCTATATATTTGGCTCCAGGGAATCACTGTGTTGTTTGGTGACATGATGTGTACCACACTCAACATGGACCAGAGGAAGCAAAGGAAAGAGTTGTCTCAGGAGATCAGAAAGACAATTATAGACCAGCATGTTAAAGGTAAAGGCTATAAGACCATCCGAGCAGCTAGATGTTCCTCTGACTACAGTTGCACATATATTATTCATACATTTAAGATCCATGGGACTGTAGCCAACCTCCCTGGACGTGGCCGCGAGAGGAAAATGACAAATCAAACAGCTGATAGTCTGAATGGCAGCAAAAGAGCCCTGAAAAACTTTTAAAGAGATTCAAGGTGAACCTCAAGCTCAAAGAACATCAGTGTCAGATCACACCATCCATCTTTGTTTGAGCCAAATCATAAAACAGCCAGACTGGAATATGCCAGACTATATGCTGACAAGCTACAAAGCTTCTGGGAGAATGTCCTATGGACAGATGAGACAAAAATATAACTTTTGGCCAAGGTACATCTACTCTATGTTCACAGATGGAAAAATGAAACATATCAAGAAACGAACACTGACCCTACTGTAAAACATGGAGGAGGCTGTGTTATGGTTTGGGGCTGCTTTGCTACATAACAGGGTGTCTTGAATCTGTACAGGCAACAATGAAACCTCAAGACTGTCAAGGGATTCTCGAGAGAAATGTGCTGGCCAGTGTCAGAAAGCTTGGTCTCAGTCTCAGAAACAGGACAACGACCCAAAACACACACAGCTACAAACACCCAAGAATGTCTACGAGGAAAACATTGGACTATTCTAAAGCAGCCTCCTATGAGCCCTGACCTCGATCCTATTGAGCATCTTTGGAAGCAGCTGAAACATGCCGTCTGGAATAGGCGTCCTTCAAACCTGAAACAATTGGAGCAGTTAGCTCATGAGGAGTGGGCCAAAATACCTGCTGAGAGGTGCAGAAGTCTCATTGTGAGCATTATTTTACTTTAAGAATCTGAATGAGTGTGTACATGGATGTCAGTCAGAATAATCATCAGACAAAATCACATCTTTCAATCGTAATGGAATTTCATTGACATGTTTACATGAAGAATTTTTGATCTGGTGGCCATTCATTCCGATTAGGGGTGCAACAATACCACTTTTTTCCAAAATGATACATTACCGATACTTGGATCTGAATACTTGCCTATACCTATTACAGATACCGATACTTCTACCACACAAAAAATGCAATGAATTGGAATACAGGTTTTATTTTCTTCTCTGTTTTCAACAGAAAAAGACTGAGTTAGATTTTTAAAAAAAATTAATGTTAATAGAAATCATCGTTGTCACTGACCACAAGTTGTTTTTTTTCTTGTTAATTATGTTCAACATTGCTGCTAACCTTCATGATCTTCCCATGAAGGTCCATCTTGATGAGACTGTCCCCTACTAGGTGTCTGAAGCCACAGCCATAGAAGAATTGGTATGGATGAGTGTTGAATTTACCATAGTTGATCTGGGGGAATTCCAGACCTCCGTAGTGAAGCAGATCCTCCCCATGGAGGTCTTCATGGGTACAGAGGACCTACATGGATAAAAAGGTTTTTGCTCATGTAACCAGTTTATTGTTTTATTTATTTTATTTATTTATTTTTTTTTTTTACTGTTGGTAGAATGAAAGTTTTTTTGTTTCCTGCATGTTGCATGACTGCTTCCTACCTTGTTTTCATCCATTCTGATAGAGGTGGCTGTGCTGTTGGGCAGGTTTATCAGGTTCTGGTTGTACGGTGTGTGACTGTCAACTGTGAGGGGTAGCACGAAACGCCGAGGGAAGACTCTGCACAAGGTGTTATACACCTGGTGAGGTAATATAGATAATGTCAGCTTTAACAACTGGAGCAGTATCTAGTGACCATTGTACCAGAGCTGACGAGAGTTCAACAGGAAGAAAAAGAGCAATTTGTTGATATTCTTTTTTTCTAACCTCATCCAGGGCCTCTCCTGACTTGCGCAAGTTTTGGATATTATAGTTAGCGATTGCCTGGCCGTCATCTGATGCACACATGTCTATGATCAAAAAGCCATCTTCCTCATAAGCGTTGATCTGGTGGAATGTTGACAGCGGCTTGGCGAGATACTTGGTAGAGCTTACCTGAAAAGCAGAAATGGGCATGAAAGTCTGTGAAGCATAAATATGTCCGGGGACGATGCTGCACCAGAGAGAAGTCGAGAGTTAACCTTCCCCGTTGGTTTGTGAATCACGTGGAAAATGGTGTTGAGTTTAGGGTCCCAGGAGATGCCATCCTTGATGCTTTTTCTTGTCAACTTGCATGTAGCAATTTTCAACAGGTCCATCTTGATGGGCTGCTCGATGAACACCACGTAGTTCTCAGACATGGCTTGGAAAGATTCAGTTTTAAACAGTCTGTAGTCAGTCTTTAGTAATAAGTGTTAAAAAAGTATTCAGTAAACAGTACACATGTTTTATTCTAAAATACACTAATTACTGCATGGCAATAGTCTATTTAATAAAAAGCTGAATCCAACACATAAATTATTGTTTTGTATTTATGTTATGTATTAGGTCAAATCTACTCACGTTTAGCTTTCAATCAATCAAATCAATCAATCAAAGCGTTATTTATAAAGCGCCTTCCGCGACCCTGTCGAGAAGCCCAAGGTGCTGAACATGGTCCATGAGAAACGTGAAACATGATGAATAAATTGAAAAGAAAAGCAATTCCAATAATGCAAAAAAGGTAAAACATTAAAGTAGAAGACAAATAGGTAAAACAAGGGAGAGAAAGACCAATGAAAACAGGGAAATAAAATCAACATAAAAGAGGGCCAAATTCAAACATGTTCAGGGAATGCCAAGCGGAGGAGGTGGGTTTTTAGGTGACTCTTAAAGACTGGCAGAGATGGGGACAGCCTAACTGAGGGTGGCAACTGGTTCCAGAGTGACGGTGCTAGGACTGAGATGAGAGACCTTTCTCCTGACACAATGGAGAGTAAATCTGGCCATCGTCAGCATAAAGATGGAACGCTAGGCCATGTTTACGAAAGATTGACCCCAGAGGAAGCAGATAAATTGCAAACAAAAGAGGACCAAGGATCGATCCCTGCGGACCCCCCAGCGGAGCTCCTCCCAAGAAGAAAAAACATCACCCAGTTTAACACAGAATGTCCTGTTGTGGAGATACGATCTAAACCAATCCAGAGCAGACCCTTTGATCCCAACCCATCGTTCCAAGCGATCAAGTAGAATTGCGTGGTCAACTTTCATGGTTTCTGTTGGTTTGAGCTTCATCTGTGACTGCTGATGAGATTAGGTCATCTTTATAGTTTTTGGTCAAAAGCAAAAAACGAATGTTTTTTGAGTGCTTCTACATAAAACTCCAGGATAAAAAGAGTTTGTAATATTCTCACCAAAGCTGTGGTAGTACGACGGCTTGGTCTTTTCCATCGAAGGAATTGAACAGAGTATTGTGGTTCCCTCCAGGGTTTCTTCTTCTGCATTCTTGCTTGGAGGCACTCGAATGATGTTGTAGTATGCTCCTGTTAGTATATATAGACCTGATTCTTTATGAGCTGCATCAACCTGTTGCTACTGAACATGTAATGCCTGGTAGACTATTGACACTATCAAACTATATTTTGCCTTATAAAAGCATGGTCTTTCGTACTGTTATATAATTATATAACAGAATAATGCAGATTATTCAATAGTTGTTATATTATCATTAGAAAACAAATATGTTAGTTTTAAGTCTAGATTAAATTATTACATATTTCAGGCTTTCAAACTAAAATCAAAACCTTTACGGCTGTAGGAATTCCCCATGTTAAATGTGGTTCCATCTGGTTCAGTGTGAGGATGTGCTGTTGCTCCATTTACTGCAATGAAATCACTCCAGTTCACCTATAACAGAAATCATAATCTAGTCTTAAATTACATTTTATGTGTATGTTGTATTTTTCAGTTGATACTCCCGCAGAAGGGCAGGGTACATGACAAAGCTATAAATGTATTCAACATCAGGTTACCTTTTTGGTTGTCTCTAGAGTCTCAGGGTCCACTTTGTGCATAACATTAGTTTCTGTGCTGACGTAGAAATCACCTTTGTATCTGACAAAACTTACATTGGCATTGTCAGATGGTTCTAAAGGGAATGAGGAATGGTCTGTCAATGAAATTCTGCTTCACAAAAGGATAAAATCTGATTTGCTGCTCGTCACTTGGACGGTACTTACTTGGTAATTCAAATCTTGACAAAAAGCGCTGAAAGAAGTTTTTACATGGGTCAGGCATAGTGACAGTCCCAAATTCGGACACCACAATGCGGTTGTACTCTTTGTTAGATTGGTAGCTATCACTTGACAGAAATCGGCTTTTGTAAGTCACCTCCCCATTAGTAAGCTTAAACTGGTGCAAGAGAGCCATGCCATCAAACCAGTGGTTGAACCTTTGAAACATGAAAGACCCAAAGAAAAGGACATATGTTTGTAGTGTCTTCTGTTCATCAGATGGAGAAACACGTTGATTCTACTTACCTCTGGTTACCAATCTCAAACTTTCCTGGCCCATTCCTCAAGAAATTGCCATTGATCCAGTTTGGGATTGTACCGATGATGTTGGTGCTGATGGGCTCAGGAGTATCATCCACTGAGGTCACAATGTTCTCAATGCAAGGCAGCCCGTGTGCATCTGTGAAACGCTTTCTGATCTTTCTTGACTTGGATTTTTTGACTTCTGTGATAAGATGTTTAAAAGATATAAACATAGAACCGCATCAAATGTCATCAAATCTAAATCTCAAAGCTTGTGTCAGTAGTTTACCTGAGGATTTGTCCTTTTTCTGTTTGATGGTATTCATGGTTGGAAAATCTTCTGTTGGTTCAGTTGCTCTCCTTGTGTGCTTGTGCTTCTCTGTTGCTTTATACTGTCCGTCTGTCTGTGACACAAATTACAAATTTAGTACAAATTTCATGCTTGTGTAATTTTCTATAAGAGTAGAACACTGTCACCACAAAATAATACAAGAGATTATCAATAGATCTTCATGCCAGGGGCAAATTGATGATTCAGCCCATTGCAAGACTAATCATTAAGTCAAGTTGATTAATACAAATGAAATAATGAAAGGGACTTTTAAACTAAATCCACAGAACACACCCATCTTTTAAAGCCATTCATCCTCAGTAAGGTCATGGGAAGCTGGCGTCGAACTCCAGTAGTCACTGGGGGAGATGCACGTTGGACAGGATTCCAGTCCATGACAGGAACTCTGAGACAAATAACCAGTGTCACTTAAAAGCTGCACCAACCACAGACCCACTACCTGTGGGAAAGCCCTGGAACTACATTTATTATCTCAAGCAACACCATTAATCATACTGTATTTATTTAATTTTGCTGTTTCATTTATCAGGGCATAGAAAAAGCAAGGTGTTCCCAGGTTATGACCTTTATCAGCTTTAAATTGCTTTCATTTCCTCTTTTACTCTTTGCTCTGAAAAGTAGTAACATAAATACGAGTGAATGAGCTTGCTTAACATTTTAGTTTAAATGAATTAGCAGTTATTTTCAGATGTTTATTTTTTCTTGATAAAATCTCGTGTGGTATCAACTTCTGTTAGATTTACTTCAGTTCATTCAGATTTGATAGGAACCCTTGGGTCATTGTTTTAACTAGTTATTCCGGTCCTATACTTATGTGTAAGTCCAATACATAAATGTAAAGTTACATGAACTTATGTTAAGTTCCTTTGGATAAAGAAGATTTAACTGCATGAAGTAATTGTTTTAACTTGAGAGTTTGCTGTGGTTTAAACTAACAGTATAAGCAGGGGCGAAATCATCACCTCAGAAGTGAGAGGGACACATTTTGGAATTATTTATCAACTTCTGACATTTAAGGTGTTTCTCAATGCCAAGGGACCTCGCCTTGATGTCTTGGTCCCGCCCTGATTGCCTAGGAGACACGTCATCAGGAACCGCCAAGACGTGTTCCAATGTTCATGTGCTACCAAGGCGTGTTCTCTGTTTGGTAGCCATTTAGCTAGCTGAGCAAGGATACACGAGAGGTGTCTTGTAGCCTAGTCTTGGTGAAAAATTACCCAGAATACACCGCAGTATTTTCAAAAGGATGGCGGATCAGAAGCCGGCAGCTCCTTCGGGGGCAAATTTAAAGTTAAATGTAAGTCAACTAATGAAAAAAATTTTTTGATCCAAAGAAGTTATCTATGGTTGGTGAGTTGCTTATTAGTTGCAGCTTCAGTGGCTAGCGGGTAGTAACTCACTTAAATATTTAATTTAACAAATATATACACAATTTAAAAAGTAAAAGGCTCATTACATATTTTTATTGAAACTAAGCGTCTCTGAGTGACCTAAAAAGTGATATATAAGTTTGATGTATTATTATTATTATTATTATTATTATTATTATTCATATGTATAAAATACAACATTATCTCCCATGTCACGTGATGTTACGTGACCGCCATGGAAGTTGGTCATGTGATGCAAGTCTGTTCCTGATAGGTAATTTGATTTTATCCCATATTACCTTAAAGGACGACACACCCAGAGAGAGAGAGAGAGAGAGAGAGTAAATTGATTATTTGTAATGTCCATGTGTGTGGCTCAACCAGCCCCCACTCTGCTCCAGCCTCAAAGCTTTCTCCTCACCTGCTCTGTATACCTGCATTCTCCAATTATCTGTTAGATAATATTTAACCTCCATAACCCTGGAACCTGAAATAAACACACATGACAACAAGGAAGACATTTTACACTGAATTAGCCAAATGAGGGGGAGATCACCGAAATGACACATAACTCTCTCCAGAGCTATGGTGCCAGGCGACTCCCCCAGTCCTCAGAGTCTTCAGTGGTTTTATTCAAGCAAAGGGTGGGGGAGAAGGCGGGCCTTCTCAAGTTACAGAGGTACAGAGTTTTCTCAATTAACATCCTTGCTCAACCTTTTTATGAACAGCCAACACAGAGATTCATGATGTGTAATGGGCATCTTTTAGGTCTCAAAAAGGTACAATTATAAAAATACCCAACAGTTCTATTTAACCATTTTCTTTGACCAAGATAGGACAGTGTCCTCATAAGCAAGGCGCCTGGCCTCGCAAGACATTGCCTTGCAAGGCCAGGCGCCTTGACATTGAGAAACACCCTTAATCTGATCTTTGCCTAGCGGGTCAAACATTCATTCAGGAATCAGCAGACAACATAGATGTAGTCCATTCTCTGGATTAGTTATTATCAATATCAAGAGTGATTCAAAGACAGTTATTTGACTGATCTTAATGGTATAAATTAGCCACTTGTAATTTGTAAATGCAGAGCACTTAAAATTTTTCAGTTGTGTCCAAACAAACATAAAGAATGTGTGCATAACCAGGCCTGGGGTCTGAACAAGCTGGTGACCAGGGGCACCGAGCTGCACTTTGTTGAAGGAAAACAAACGTTTTCCTGCAGATAATCCTGAGACATTTCTCACTTGTCCAGACATGAATGCCAGAGAATTTCAAAGCCAGATTTAAAATCCTGTGAACTGCTGAACTGCCATGACCTATGTGATACAGCGTTTAGTCATTGGACACTTTTTAAAAAGATTTACAACCAGTTCAGCTAGAAACTGAGACTGAGAAAAAACTGTTTTGTAAACCAGTAATCTCTGTAACACAGTCTGCATTAATAAGGATGTATTTTTGTTGTGTGGTGTTAACTGGATTTAGTCACCCTGGTGGAAGGAAAGAAGAAAAACAAGCGTTGCCAAATGATTCGGTACAGAACTGCGTTTGTGCATTTGATCTTTTTAAATGTAGCTTGTTTTGCTTCCGATTCGGATTTAGAACATTTAACTTACTTAAATTCACCCAGCCTTTGCATTCACTGGGTTGAAGACATCCATCTTTCCACTTGTTGATAAGCTAATAAGATAAGCCACAGCAAAATCCCCATTACTGTCACAGAGGTTGTGTGTGTGTGTGTGTGTGTGTGTGTGTGTGTGTGTGTGTGTGTGTGTGTGTGTGTGTGTGTGTGTGTGTGTGTGTGTGTGTGTGTGTGTGTGTGTGTGTGTGTGTGTGTGTTCTTCACCAAAAAGAATACAATTTGCTACTGATGTTCATATGCTTCAGCAGCAGATCCAGAAGATTTGACATGGGGAGTTGTAGTTGACTAAAATGCTTTTTAGATGAAAAGGTCTTTCAGGTGTAGCTTTGTGCCCCGCTAATTCAATTCAGTTCAATTCAATTCAAAAATACTTTATTAATCCCAGAGGGAAATTGATTGCTGTAGTAGCTCAGAATAACAATAATAATCAAGTCATCAAAGAGTTATTGTATATTACAATGGCTGTTGGCAGGAAGGATCTCCAGTAGCGGTCAGTGTTGCAGCGAAACTGAAGAAGCCTCTGACTGAAGACACTCTTCCGTTGTCAGACAGTCTTGTGAAGAGAATGCTCAGGGTTGTCCATAATTTTCTTGATTCTCTGGAGAATCCTTCTTTGCATTATCTCCTCCAGTGGTTCCACAGTCGTCCCCAGAACAGAACCAGCCTTTTTCATTAGGCTGTTGAGCCTTTTCAGGTCCCTGCTTCTGATGCTACTACCCCAACAGACGATGGCTGAAGAGATCACACTCTCAACAACAGACTTGTAGAAGATCTGCAGCATCTTGCTACAGACATTGAAGGACCTAAGTGTCCTCAAGAAGTGCAGTCTGCTGTGTCCCTTCTTGTAAACGGCTTCACTGTTCTTTCTCCAGTCCAGTCTGTTGTCCAGGTGAACTCCAAGGTATTTGTATTCCTCAACCACCTCCACTTCTTCTCCCATGATGGAAACAGTGTTGGACTCCACCCTGTTTCTTCTGAAGTCTAAAATCATCTCCTTTGTTTTGTTCACGTTCAAGGTCAGATGATTGTTTCCACACCATGCCACAAAGCGCTCCACCAGCTCTCTGTACTCAGCTTCCTGTCCATCCATGATACACCCAACAACTGCAGAGTCATACTTTCGTTCTTTTTTAAACACAGAAACAGTTTTGTTTACCTGTTTTGTAGCTACAGTTTCGCCGACGGCTGCCGGCTTCTTCAGGCTGACGCTGATGGTGGCGCGTCACTTCCTTCTCCGTTTATCTGCGGGCAGCAGAGGACGTTGTCACCCTCTACTGCCCGCTCTCCCCTCTCCGACGATGCAGTCCCATGCGTGGTCCAGCGTGTAAACTCCGTTGTCCCTGTTCATGGTCCCACATCCACGTCTCCTTATCTCTATTGCTTCCTTGATCCATCTTTTGTATTTTTGTTGTTCGGTGGTTATGATCCGTGTGTTGTCCCAGTCCATTATATGGTTTTCTCTTAAGCAATGATCTGTTACGGCTGACTTTTTTATTGTACTTTCTGCTTCTTCTTTTGCTGCTCTTGTGTGTTTACGATTTGCCTCTTTCTCGCACTCCTTTCTGTGTTCTATTGTCCGTGTATTGAGTTGGCGTCCGGTTTCTCCTATGTATGTTTTATTGCATATTTTGCATGGGATTTCGTAGATGACTCCACATTTTTGTCCAGCTGATATTTTGTCTTTTGGGTGTACTAATCTGTTTCTAACTGTTGTGTATGTCTTTGTTGGTGTGTTTATGTTGTGTTTTTTCATTGTTGCTCTTATTTTTTCTGTTATGCCTCTGATGTATGGTAGGGTTATCACTGGTTTTGGTTCTTGTCTTTCTGGGTTTCTGGTTCTTTACTTAGGTTGTTCTTTTCTTTCTGTTGTTGTTTGCCATTTTCCTTTGTTTATTGCCCATGTCGGGTATCCGCAGGTCTTTAAAGCGTGTTGTATGTGTTTGTCTTCTTGTTTACGGTCTCTCTCTTCTGTTATTATGTTTGCTCGGTGATATAATGTTCTGATTACTGACATTTTGTGTATGGTAGGGTGTTCTGATGTCCATAATAGATATTGGTCTGTGTGTGTTGGTTTCCT